TGGACGAACCAATTAAGAGTCACAGTTAGTTTGAGAAGTTCTAGAGTTTCTTGAAGAAAAGAATGGAGGGAATGGTAGATAAACAATAGCTGAAGAGATAAAGATTGTGAATATTCAAATTGTGCAGGACATGAGCCTTCAGATCAAAAGTGCATTCTGAGTACCAAGCAAGGTAAATGAAAATATATCCATACCTAGAAATATTGTGGTAAAGCTGCTAAATATAAAGCATAAAAGATTTTTCAAACTTACAAACTCATTCTTTAATAAAACTAAAAAAAGAGCACCTACAAAAGAATGACAATTAGATTGAAACCTCCTTGGCAACCAAAGAAGACAATGGGGCCATAACTTCTAACTGAATAAAACACACACACTCACATACACACAAAAGAAAGCAAAATGAAATGTTCAATTCAATGGACTAATGTAATTTCAAAAATCGTAAAAATGAAAATCCTTTAGAAACTTTAGAAAGTGTGTATGAAACAATACTGAGTAAAACATATTCAGAGATTTGCACATATATTGTGATCATAACTATATATAAGTATTTTTACTCTCTTGTCTGTTGTTTTATAGTAAGAACCAGAAAAGTGATTTTTAAATGGAGAAAGGAGTTGAATACTTTTTAATAGAGACATCTGTAAGAAGAAAAAAATGAAAGAAGGTGAAAATGAAACCAAGAATGAGTAGTCCTAGAGGATGTTAAAAATGTATTCATAGTTTTGAGGTCCTGCAACTTGAGTCTGGGCCTGGCAATATAAGGGGGTCACCTCTGTGGAATAGATCAGCTCCAGAGATGAAATTTTGTCTGTATAGTAAAGGCTACACGTGTTTGTTTTTGTTTCCACAAATCTCAACAGTTCCGGGGGGCCACAGTCCAGAGATACATATTCTGGAAATAGTATTAAGATCTCTCACAAAGGAAAAATAAACTACGGTCTCTCAGACTCTTGCTCCTTTCTGAAAGAATCGATCTACTGTTGAAGCCTCTTGTATTCCCTTTCAAATTGATCAGAACATGAATCCTCAGATCAAAAGTGCATTCTAAGTACTAGGCAAGATAAATGAAAATAAACCCATGCTTAGAAAAATTCTCTGTTCCCAGTTTCATTCTTGCTTCCAAACAACCCTACACTTTTCCTATTCAATAACTATCTGCCACGAAATTATCATGGCTGACAGCCCATATTCTTTGGAACTTACTAAGCACTCTACTAAAATGATTAATTATTTTGGGGGTAAGATACTCCCTATTGGGTAGCATACATGTATTTCAAAAGACCCTGAAACAGTAGCTTAACACGAAGGAGTGACTCCAATAGGAGAACTATTAGGCTTCATGACAATTCTTTGGGAATTTTGGAATTAAGTTCACTTCCAGGCGGTGATTTTAGTGACCACTATCGACAGTAGCAGGAAATAGGAGTAAAAGTAACCATATAAACATAATCTCTATGTAATCATCCACTAGAAACCTGCAAAAATCTGGGGGAAACAGTGGACCTTTCCATAAGATGTGGAATGAGTTGAGCTAATTTTATGTGAAGTTTAAAGTGAAGAAAGATTTTCAGCTACATCCCGGGTACGTTCATTGAACCAGAGGTATTGTTCAAGAGAAATGGGAAGCACTATGACTCAGACAACCCCCAGACAATAAGAGAGCCACCATCAAAAGTTAAACTAGAAAGAAATTCCCTTGTGATGTGTGAACTAGTGGTTTTCCAAATACTACTCTGACTCCGTCTTTAAAGAGTTCCAGAGGCGCTAGGATAGCAGCAAACAGAACTTGACAGGTAAAGGTACCTCTGCAAGTGGCACTTAGAAATTGCTTTAGCTTTATAAATAAACAAAGCAGAAATTGTAAGGCCCGGTTCTGCAAGGCCCACCTGCCCTTTTCAGTCTTAAGCCCCTCAAGGGCAGGGGCAGCAACTAGAATGTCTAATTTCCCTGAGGGAGGACACAGAACATATGGGGGAGAGGAAAAACAGAATTATTTTGCTGCACTGTTTTATCTCTGCCATCAAATGAATTATTCAGCTCTGCATTTTTGCTATGGATTAACTGGGCCAGTTGCATCTCCTTTCTTCCCTTGGATGCCTGCCTATGGCCAGGTCAGTGCTCATCAGCCCAGTAAGCAGAGATGTGTCTTGAGAAGAAAGATAAAATTCAAGTTGATTCTTTTCTTTCTTTCTTTAAGAAAGAATGGTATCTGTTTTTGTTGTTTTTCTCATTGTTGCTGTTTTTAATAGCTTGTAAAGTATTGGCAATGTGATATTCTAATCTGATATCACCATTTCTTATCCCAGTATTGAAATTTATACTGCCAGATAGATAGTGACTTATTCTTCTGTGTCATAAAACTTAAGTAGCTACCATTTGGGGAGGTTATTTTCATGGTTTCAATATTGGTAATTCTCTTTTCTGAGGCTAAAGAGTACCCAGGCAGGGCACTTTGAAACTTCAAAGGCAAGGCAAGGGCAAAAGTGACATCTGGACTCAGTTTTGATAGGGCTTCTCAGCTTTAGTCTCACTTTCAGTGTGCAGAGTCAGAAAGTTCGGGGGAAAATGGTAATAGACTTTTGTAAAAATTTGTTTCTAAGCCATTTTTCTTCATTTTCCTCCAAGTCATAAGAGCTGGGTTGGTCACTGCAATGAGAAGGGTGGGGGTCCATGCATTAGGGGCAGATGAGGTGTTGGCTGCAGGGAAGGTGAAGGACTGCTGGTGTGGAGCTTTGTGAACTTGGCTGAGGAATAAGCGACATCCACCAAAGTTGCTTGGGTCTCCAAGCAACAAATCCTACCACCACTTATGAATAGTTCACAAGCAAGAGTTAGGAGAAGCAGCATAAAGTGAAGGTTAAGTGAACGGATACTGATTCTATACTGTGTGGTGAGTATAAGCCCTGCTACTCATTAGCTGTGTTGATCTTAGACAAACTACTTAACCTCTCTGGGCCTTAGTTTCCACATCTATAAAATGGTGAATCATAATAAGACCTAAAGCAGCGAGTGAAATAAGTCAATCAGAGAAGGACAAAAAATTATATGGTCTCATTCATTTGGGGAATATAAAAAATAGTGAAAGGAAATAAAGGGGAAAGGAGAGAAAATGAGTGGGAAATATCAGAGAGAGAGACAGAACATGAGAGACTCCTAACTCTGGGAAACAAACCAAGGGTTGCTGAAGGGGAAGAGGGTAGGGGGATGGGGTTCCTGGGTGATGGGCACTGAGGAGGGCACTTGATGGGATGAGCACTGGGTGTTATGCTATATGTTGGCAAATCGAACTCCAATAAAAAAAAAAGACCTAAAGCAGCAAGTTATTGTGATGTTTAAATGAGTTATTATTTATTTATAAAATGCTTAGAACAGTACCTGGCACAAAGTAAGTGCTACATCTAAGTATTTGTCAAGCAAATAGAATAGGGAGTGGAATGGGAAGGGCTTCCTGCTGGACAATGTTCTCCAGAGCCTTGTCTTATCCCCTTCCTCACACATACAGTCTTCTTCCCCAAGAGCTAAAGTTAGCAGGTTATTGGCCATGGGAAGTAGAAGCTTCTGTTCTGACCTATATCAGTGAACTGGTCAGTTAGCACATCTAGAGACCTCACATTCATGGACTCAACAAGCTCCAAGGAGCTAAGCAGAAAACAGAAATCGCAAAAGGCCTGTCCCAGGCAGCATGAATCGGAGAGAGCATCTCTCCCTAGAGCCTTGACCCCTCATCACACACAGCAGGCATGAGGACAGTGGCCAAGGGCCTGGTGTGTAGCCACCTGAAGGAAGTGAACCCATGGGCAGGCCATTTAGTCAGGGGCAGCCTGTCTGCTGCTGTGGACGAGCTCAAGCTTAGCTCACCCTCCCAGTCTGCCCCCCCTCAAAATTGGTATGTCTTCTCTCTCAGTATTGAGGGCGGGGAAGATGAACAGCAGGAAGGGGCAGGAGAGGAAAAACCAAAGGCGCCTAGTCACAGGGTGTGTGCAGGAACCTCAACCAACCCCAGCTATAGATGAAGAAACTGAAACTCAGAGAGGAGCAGCAAACAGGGAAGATCTGAGTTTTTGTGAGAGGGACTCTTCTAAAACTTCTTTTTTTGGGGGAAGGGGGTTCTCTTTAAGAGACAGAATATAGATTTCAAATACAAAATGCCTATGGCCACTACAGTACCACGCAACAGAAGGAGAATGTCATGGAGAGAAAAGTCACAGTGGAAAGAGATAGTGGTTTTAATATTGTGGTTAAAATATACTTAACGGAGATTTTATCAAAGAATAAGACATGTGACCATGTCTAGGGCTTGAAGGGGACTTTGGAAAGAGCTTGTCTAAGTGAGAAACCCTGAACCTCAGCTTCATTCAGTTCATGGTGAATCAGGTGATGCGACTAGCTGAAGGTCACTGAAGTAGGGAGTAGCAGGGCTGGGCTCCTTGATCCCCCCAGTAAGCAGGGGCAACTGTGATCTATGGGCATGGGCTGGTAGGGAAGGCTGTGCAGGGTGAGAGAGAGGGTAGGGAACATGGAAACCAATGTTCCCTAATGAAAGGTTTTTAGAAGCCTGTCACCTGTTTTCTAAAAGCCTGAGAATGCCAGGAATGGGAACAGAGAAGACCAGAAGGAAGTGTGTGTGGAGCTAAAAAGTTAAGCCTCAGAGGCGTCAGAGCAGGGGCCTTCCCCCCAGCTCCCTAAGTGCTGCTGGACAGGCCAGTCTACCCTACTTTGTGCATCTAGTGCCACACGGGTGTAAGATGGCAGAGGAGAAGGGTGCACAGAGGGTTGCATCCCCTCTAGGCTAGACCTACCATCAGCTGAGATACCTGTTCTCTAGCATGATGCTTGCTTCTTCTCCAGGAAAGTCTTTTTTTGGCATGTGGTATTAGGCTACACTGGATAGAAATAAGTAAAACCTACCAAGTCTCAGGCCTGGGCTTGTCGTAGCCAACTCATTGGTAAACATAGAAGGATTCTAGGACTTTACAAAGCCAAAAGGTTCTTACCATAGAGCAGGAGGGTCATCACAAAGAGAATGTTATTCAGTCCCATAGTGCTAGAGTTAAAAAAAAAAAGAAAAGATAAAACTTGATTAGAAAAATGACTGAAAACCAAAATATGACAAATAGAGTTTGGGATTCACTTAGGCCCCGGTGCGTAGCAGAGATCATGCTATATGTTCACCAAGGCCATTTCCTCTTCCTCCTAGCTCCACAGATAAGCCCTACATCCCAGCCTCACCTGCAGTTAGGTGGCCCATGTGTTTGGGTTCTGGCCAATGGAATTGTAGGCAGAAAAGACTGGTGTTACTTCCCGACCTGCCACTAAAGCCTTCTCTCTCTTTCCTTCCTCTCTTGCCTTCTTGGACGCAGAGAATCCAGAGGAGGAGTGCAAGGCCCTAGAGGATGGCAAAGCCTCACTATGAAAAGAATCTGGATTGGTGAACAAATTAACAAAGCAGTTCTTTCCACCCTAAAGTGAGGAAAACATAAACTTCTATTGTGTTAAGCTATGAAATTTGGGGGATTGTTTATTGGAGTAGCTGGCATCACTTAGGTTGCCCAAGACAATGGATATGATGGGACAAATGAAGAGTATTTACGTTTAGAAATCAACTTGCCTTTGGTTTCCCTGTGATTCTCAAACTTTACCATGTGTAAAAATCTTCTGGAAGATCATGTTAAAGCAGTTATCTGGGCCTTGTCCACAGAGATTCTGATGTAATAGGCTCGGTAAAACCTGTGTCTAACTCACAGGTGATGCTGCTGTTGCTGGTGTAAGAACCCCACTTTGAGAGCATGATTGGAGCCAAGGAGAACAGCAGGCACTGCTTATTAACTTCTGTGCTCTCTTCTTTCCCTCCCTCTTTCTTGACTCACCCGCTTACCCCAACTTAGACCAAAAAGGCTATAGTGGCTTACAGGGAAGCATAGGATAAGGGAAAATGACCAAAATTAGAAACAGCTAAGAAACAAACCAAATGTAAGAATATAAAATGGAGCCTGGTACAAGTCCAGTGCTAAATGCTTAGCATTTAGAAATCTGCCCACCCTGCGTGGTTCAGGTCACAAGTTTGGCCTATAGCCTTTCAACAGCCAACGTAAAAATGAAAACCTAATTGGTGAATTAGTTTACAGATCTGTTCATTAGGATAAAACAAACCAATGCTCAGGAGAAGATGCGCAACTATTTGTGATCCAATAGCAGAAATTTCTTCCTTGGGGGTGGTTTGTCTAGAAGCCATTCCTGATCCCTTTGGGCTATGCTAGACACCTGTCCTCTGCTCCCAAAGCACTCAGCACAGAGTGTGGGGCTAAAAGTGTCTGTTAGGTTTCTTCCCTTCTAGACTATACCCTCTTTCTTCAGTCAAAAAATTTTGAATAGATCATACCTGCACATACCTAAAATTAAAAGGTACAGGTGATAAAGAGTGGAAAGCAGTTCTTTCTCCCAACCCAGTGTGCTAGCTGTCTAGTTTCCCCCACTGTTACCTGTTCATAGCTTCTTGCCTCTAGTTGCAGTTATTTTAGACAAAAACAAAATGGAAACATCTACCCATATTCTTTTTTCATTTTATTTAAAAGATTTTTACATGGTAGCAATTTATACACAATTTTGCGCCCTTGCCACTACCTCAGAAATTGTTCTGTATCAGCGTGTAGTGGATATCTTCCTTCTAACCGTTGCATATTCTATTGTCTTCTATTGGATGACAATAATTTATTTTGCCAGCCTCTATAAATGGACATTTAAGGGTTTCCAGTATTCTGCTACAATGAAAAACCTTGATCATATGCCAAAATACTTATGTGAGGGTAAGCTATCTTCCTAGAAGTAGAAATAGCCTGACCGAAGGACCAAAGGGTAATTGCAACTTTAACCTTCAAAGACATTGAAAAATTGTTCTCCCCTAAGATTGTATGTTTATGGTCCCCTGCAACAAACACGGACATGCTTATTTTCACATAGGTTTTTGCCAACATAGCATGTTTTCTAACTTGTGAGCTTTACCAATAGGGAAACTTAAAATGACATCTCATTGTCATTTTTAAAAATTATTTTTCATTGTGGCAAAATACACATAACATAAAATTTACCATCTTACTCATTTTTTTTAAGTGTACAGTGGTATTAAGTACATTGTTGTGCAACCGTCACCACCATCCATCTCCAGAACTGCTTTCATCTTGCAAAACTGAAAGTCCTTACTTACTAAACACTAACTCCCTACTCTCCCCTCCACCCAGGCCCTGGAAACCACCATTCCACCTTTTGTCTCCATGAATTTAACTACTCTAGCTACCTCACATGAGTGGAACCCTACAGTGTTTGTCTTTTTTTGCGATTTGCTTTTTTCACTTAGCATAATTTATTCAAGGTTCATCTGTGTTGTAGTATGTGTCAGAATTTCCTTCATTTTTAAAGCTGAATAATATCCCCACTGTGTGTGTGTGTGTGTATATATAAATATATATATATATATATATATATATATATATATATGCCACATTTTGTTTATCCCTTAGTCTGTTGATGGATTTTTGAGTTGCTTCCACCTTTGGGCTGTTGTGCACAATGCTGCTATGAACATGGAAGTATGAATATCTCTTTGAGGCCCTGCTTTCATTTCTTTTGGGTATATAGTCAGAAGTGGAATTACTGGATCATATGGTAATTCTATTTTTAATTTTTGAGGAACCGACATACTGTTTTCCACAGCAGCTGCGTAATTTTATATTCCCATGAAGAGTGTACAATTGCGCTGTTCCAATTCCTCCACGTCTTTGTCAACACCTGTTATTTATTTACTTTTCCCTTATGGTATCCATTCTAACGGATGTGAGGTGGTTCTCACTATAATTTTGAAATGAATTTCTTTTAGTATGAGTTTGAACATCTTTTCAAATGTAGGAGAGATAACATTTCTTTCTTTCTTTCTTTTTTTTAAGAGGGAGAGAGAGACAGACACCCAGCGGGCAGCCGGAAGCAGGTTCAGTCTCTCAACCCTGAGATCATAACCTGAGCTGAAATCAAAAGCTGGATGCTCAACTGACTGAGCCACCCAGGAGACCCATGAGATAACATTTCTTGTTTAATGTACTGTCCATACATTTCTTCTACTTACTTTAAATTTTGAGCCTTTGGCTTTTTACAAATTTTTCTTAATTTATAGGAGCTCTTTAATATTCAAAAAATTAGTGTTAATTAGTAACTACTTAGAGAGGTCGACAATGAGTTGCAAACATATTCAATTGCTGAAGCACACAGTAGGTGTTCAGTATATGAACCTCACATTTGCTCCTGATTACTCTCTCTCTCCCCTCCAATGATTTCAATAGGTTATGGAGCTTGAACATTAACTGTTGGGCCAAAGCTGACACCAGTCAGTGGTAGAGTCTGGAAAGAGAGTTTTCTGTTTGATTCCTGTGCACTTCCTCATAATAAATCAGCACCAGCATCCTGTTTATCATAGAATCTGAAGACTGGGAATCCTTTGAGTCTGAACTGTCATCTAATATAGGAATCTCCCATTGTTTGCAAACCAAAAATCAGCATGCTTGACCTAACCAAAGATTTGGTTTTCCTTGGGGTGATGTGTTGAACAGCGACACAAAATCAAATTATATTTCACTATAAATTTAACAAATCACCTTTAGTTCAAATTACAACATGAATCAGTATGGCCCAAGATATCTTGGACAAATGGTCCCTGTAATTCATGCACTTGGGAGAAGCACTGGGTATGACAAGGAAATCAATACTATTTTAACTTCTCTATTTGGAAATTCTCTCTTCCCCTGAGCGAGAAACTGCCTCTCCTTAACTTCCTCTCATTAATACTGGTGTCATTCTTTGGAGTTATGCAGAGAAACCTTAACACACTTCTGGCAAAACCCTTTATGAATCTGGGGACAGAGATTACATTCCTTCCCAAAATTCTGGCCCAGCAGTGACGGTCTTTCTAGTAAACTTTCCTAACAGTGATTTGAAGATTGGACACTGTCCTGGACAACACTTTGGACACTTTGTTTGTCAGAGACCCTAATAAAATATGGTGATAAAATACTAGAGATTGACATGGTCTTTTACTCCTTACGTGAAGGATTTCTCTCAACTCTAGCCATGGTGTACATGTGAGGATGGGGACTTGGGTTAGGAAACCAGTTTCTTCAATGTTGTTGGCTCTGAAGAAGAGTAGAGATGTCATTGCTCCCACAGGAATGAACTCCCAACCACAACCTCAAGTCATTGCTTTCTCCAGAGGGCCTGCGAAGTAGAAACCCTGGCTTTTGAAGGGAGAGAGCAAAAAGGGGAATGAGAGAGGAAAGAACCTAAGAATTTACGGGGGGATTCTCTGAGAAGAGATTTCTGTCAGCTGTGTTCACAATAAGGTCTGTAGGTGGGTAAACTGGTCAAAAACCTAAAGCAAGTAGCCTCTGGGTAGCTGGAGGTTCACTACAGAAACCAAAGAAGAGCACTGTATGGCACTTTTCCTTACTGTATGTGCTTGGCCCATCATAGACCGTGAGTTAGTCAGCTGAATGACTATTTACACTCTTGTTCCTCACAACAAGGTGGGATTATCCACCCCCACATTGTAGATGAAGAAATGGAGCCTCATAGAGGTTAAGAGCTTGCCCTAGCCAGCCAGTAGTAAGTGATAGAGTTGAGGTTTAAGCCCACACAGCCTCATTGTGTTCTTTTTCACATTGGTATAGTTCCTTTAAAAGTTCCAGCCAGGTTCAGCTGTGCTATGGGAGCAAAGAGAAAGGATTCTGAGTCTACCCACTCTTTTATTTCTCTCTGAAGTTTGATTGATTGATTGGTTGGTTGATTGATGGATTTGAGAGAAAGAGAAGGTTTACTAAATTTGCTGGTGTCTAAGGAGAATTGTTCATTTACTGGATTTAGTTAATGACAGCTTGTTCTGGAGGTTGTGGGGGATATAGAGGGGCTTTGCTCCCTCACACAGTACTACAAAGAAAGACAGAGTGTACAAATATAACTACAATTTAAGTTCTAGGATCAGTGTGGAGGGTGGCAATGTATACCACT